AGTAAAAAATCTAATTATGTTTATGGTTGAATTATATAGAAGTTAACAAAATGTCTTTTAAGTGTAGTAAATGTAGTTTTGGAAGGAAAAAGAAATTCTTTTAGCTACTTAGTCTATATCTGTTTGTTTGTTTAGTTACACTACATACTAGAATTTTCTATAGCTAGTATAGATAGTAGTGTGTGTGCCATGTGGTCAAACAAATAGAAAGCAAGTGATTAGTGAGGTGTGTGCCATGTGATCAAACAAATAGAAAGCAAGTGATTAGTGAGGTGTGTGCTTGTATAGTATGTGTGTGACAGTGTGAGTGTTAATAAAAACATAGTGTTCGGTGTATTGTGTAGTGTGTAGTGTGCTTGAGTGATATATTTGTAATACACTATTTGTATAATAAAATAAATTTGTTGAAATAATATTGAGTTTATTGACCCATTTATTTGCAACAACGAGCTACTTTTATATCACAATACTAGGCGTATTTTACGGGGAGTTGTATTTTTCATTGATGATTTTGGTTTCCCCACTCTATTGGTTTACGCCTTACATGAACTCGTCATGGCACATTACTGTCCTTATATAGGGAATTGTGGAACATATTTTATGTAGACCCTTATTAGTATGGAGATTTTTCTGATTTTTCTTATTAGTATGGAGATACTTATCATGTGTTCTTATTTGGTCTAAAAGATTTGAAGATTATGTTGTTTGATTATATTTTTTTCATGGAGCATCTTGGCATCTCCGTGAAATTGGTAGTTTTTCTTGCATTTGTGGCAAAAGAAGGGTACGATGCTTGTTAGCCATTCCTAATGTTTGATAAAACAAAAGAAAAATTAGTAGCATAAGAATGTGTTGATGTGTTTGATGAACAGGCGATTTAGACTAGAATTTGTAAACAATTGTGGAGTGAACTGGATATATACTACACATGTTTTTTAGAAAGTGTGTCTCAAAGTGATTTGAGTAAATTCTGTAAAAAGCGCAAATCACAATGTACACATTTTCAGAAAACAGATTCAACCTAGAGTAAATTTGTTGATTATCAGGATTTACACTACTACAATTTGTAAACAGTTGTGAACATGATGTACCATAGATATTATCAGAACTCTAAAAACAGAACGTGTCTGTAAATTATTTCAAAACTAGAGATTCAACAGTTAGAAGGCAAATCATCAAACACGTGGTATGCATTTTCAGAAAATTGAATAAATTAGATCAATCAAACATCAACACTTAGATTTGGCGGGATATTATTGGCGTTTTATCGAGGGCTTTTCGAAGATGGCTCAACCGCTAACGAACCTGACCAAGAAGAACATCAAATTTGTATGGTGTTCCCAGTGCGAGTCGAGCTTTCAAGAGTTGAAGAGGAGGCTCAAGTCTGCACCTGTGTTGACCATACCGGACCCGAATTTGGAATTCACTATTTATAGTGATGCCTCGAAGATGGGCCTGGGATGTGTGTTGATGTAGCAAGGGAAGGTTGTGGCGTACTCATCGAGGCAGCTGAAGCCTCACGAGGCGAACTATTCGACCCATGACCTGGAGCTTGCCGCAGTGGTTCATGCGCTTAAGATTTGGCGGCACTACCTCTACGGGGCCAAGTGCAAAATTTTCACCGACCTCAAGAGTTTGAAGTACATTTTCACGCAAAAAGAGCTCAACATGCGGCAGCGAAGGTGGTTAGAGCTCGTGAAGGACTATGATTGCACAATTAGCTACCATCCGGGAAAAGCTAATGTGGTCGCCGACGCGTTGAGTCGGAGGAGTCATGGTGAGCTGAACTTCTTGATTACCCGTTATCATCAACTTCCACATCTTCTACTCCTGCCCGTCAAGTACTTGATCAATTGCCCGAAAGGTATGATCTTGTCCTTTCTCCAATATTTTTCCTTTGTTTCTCCCTTTTTCTGTCACCTTTATGCCGCAGCACACTATTCGGGCGGAAACGAATCAGTTTGATCACCTTCGGGATGAAACGAGGCTCTTCGGGTGTCATTCGGGTTGTTACGGGGTTTGTTTGGCATACTCGGGCTGCTGTCTGGACTCCACGAGGGCTGTTTGGGATAAAACGGGGTCGGTTGTGGATATATTAAGGGATGATTTTTATTTATATTGAAATTAAAAAGACAAATTTGTTTCCATAAAATGAAAATTACCTAAAAATAAAATCAAAATATTTCTAAATTTCAAAACTAAAGCTCTATTGAGTTCATGACCACTTGTCGAGTAAACTTAATCAAACATATTAAAATACTCACAGAAAATAATGTATAAGTGATTTTGAGTAATATAAACATCATTTAAGACCGAAATTCAATATTCTTTTATGTTCGTTGAAATTGGTACTGAAGACGCGATATTGGGTACTAAACAACCCTTTAAATTGTGCAAAATTATATAAAATATGTCTATTTAAAATTAGTACACAACTCGTACGGTGTACATAACTGATAATAAATTACATTATTATATTTCAAAATAAGTGTCATTTTAAAACTTTTTATTGAAAAATTCAATTTGAATACAATGTGGTTCTGTTAAATAAATATTTTGTAACAATCAATCATCACACATCATATTAACTTTAATTCACTATTTTTCACTCACATAATTTTACATACTTATCACTTTCAATAATCTCTCTCATATTTTTACATCACATCAACTTCAATTATTATATTTAAATATTATATAATTATTAATAATAATCATAAAAAAATAAGAAAGTTCATAGTAGAGAGAGAAACAATAAAATAATATTACTTGATGAAGGCAAGAAATTGCAGGCCAAGAACTGAGATTCATCCATGAAGCACAATTGTCGAGTCTTTACCTTCCACCACAAACAAAAATCCCAACGGAAATTAAATTTTAATTCATAATTATAAATTCGAAAAGATAATTATGGTGGAAGTTCTCCACAGTATTTGGAAGAACATCAGAGAAAGAGCCATCACGAATCACCCTACAAGCTGGCCAAGTTTCCTATGTAGAAATGAATTTTCCAGAAACTCTTGTTCGCTAAAACGGTGTCATTTAACTTCTTAAAACGATGTCGTCTTGAGGGAAAACTGGCTAAAGTATAGAAGAATCGAGAAATCTCATCTGAAACCCACTACATCCAGATATTTTCTTGAAAGGTTTAAGCGCTATTTGTAATGTCAAATAAATAGAGATGCATATTTGTGATTTGAAAGATAATTGGGCTCTTCTTGTACTTATACTGAAATAGATTTTACCACAATGAAAATATAAAAGCCTTCCACCCCATCCAGCCATTCCCACTCCTCAACGGTCCCGACATATTAATATTTTCCAAAGGGTATTTGTGATTTGAGATGATCTTTTGAGTATTGAGGTACTATAGGCTATATAGCCTGAGAAACAAATAAATCGAGCATGTGAATTTGCGTATTGCAAATTTGCAATATAGTATTTTTAATATTTGCTTGTATTCAATAATTTGTGATAATGGTAATGATAGGGTCTTGTTATGAACATCCAGTTTAGCTCATCATAATTAAACAAGGAACAAATGTTAGGGTATTTAATTAAATTCAAAATTTTGAATCGAGGAATGAGAAAATTGGAGCAATTTTTATTTGCTAGCGTGAATAGAGCTGTTAAATCAATACACACGCGCAAAGGTCAAAGTAGCGTTGTTTAGATCGTGTCTACATCAGTAGAGTCGAATTGATTTAAATTGTATGTGATCTGACGTTTCAAATTGTGTCCACGTTGTAAGATCGAATCTTCTGGAAAAATTGATAATGTATGTTATTCAAAAAGTATTGGAGATTTAGAATAGTTTAGTATCATTTGCAAATATATGTAGTCTATATATATATAATTACTAGCTAATAGTATTTAATAAAACCTATTTAATTTTATCTATGTGGCAACTTAACAATTTTCCCTCCAAAAACCGTTACATTTTGATGTATTTAATCTTTCATTTAATCATTAAATAATTAATATTCATCACTTCAAAATTACAAAAATTATTTTAAACTTTTTGATTAATGACAATTGACCATATAATGTGTTGACCGTATAATGTGATTAGATGTTATTATTTTTGTTACATTTAATTTTTTTTAAATAAAAAATATATTTAAAATTCCTAAATAAATAATAAATAATTCACAAATAAAAGACGTACCAAAATATACATTACATCCAATCAGATAAACGCAATTTAAAAAAAATATTCCAACTCTTTTAATTGTAAATTTGGTCTGCAAAAAAATGAAAGAAAAATAATTAATCATTATATGCATACAGACTCACAATAATTTATTTATATCTGTGCAAATGCACAGGTCGAATACTAGTGGATTTTCAATAGAAGTAGCATGATACAAAGTAAAATATAAAATTTATGTATAATCATTCCTAAATTTACCAAACAAGTACATTTACATTTAATAATATACCCCAAAACAAAGTTCAAATATCACTCATACACTCATTATTAAATTCTTCAGCCACAAAATCAAACCACACACAAAACACACACGCAATATTTTATTAATTAAAAATATTAAAAACCCAAAAAAGAAAAAGAGAGGTAAACGAATCTGCCAAAACACACTTCGAAATCAAAATCACACCACCCGAAAAGACGACGCCGCCGCCACCAACACGGCGCAGGCCGCCGCGCGAGCCACGGTCTCCCACCCGCGGATCTCCCAGGACGAGCTCGCCACCGCGACGTCCGCCGCCGGCGGAGCTCTCGGCGGCAGCGCCTTCCTCGGCGGCGGCGGCGGCGGCGGAGACGGCGGCAGCGCCTCGAAGAACCTCCGCGGCAGCAGCACCTTACCCACCTCGTACACCGCTAGCTGGTCTCCGGCGTACACCGCGCTCCCGACCGACGCGTTCGTGTACCCAGTGGTGATGTTCGCCCCGCCGCCGCTCCCCGCCGCCGCCGTCACGTTCATCGCGAACAGCTCCTGAGCGCCGCCCGCCTGCGTCCGGAGAGGGTTGCTCACCGTGTCGAACTGCGACGGCGCGAGCAGCGCGGGGACGACGTGGAACTGGATCAATTCCATTTTCCGGTCGTCGGAGAGCGAGTTGAGGGCGCCGGATTTCAGATCCGAAAACGCCGCGTCCGTCGGGGCGAAGACGGTTAGGGCTTGGTTGGAGTCGTTGAGCTGCGTGTGGATCTGGTCGGCGACCTTGGTGCTCTTCAGCAGGCGGATGAAGGTGGTGAAGTGGCCGGCCTTCGCGAGAATGGCGGTCAGATCGGGCGGGCCGGACGGGGCTGGGCCGGGGGCCGCCGCCGGGGTCTGGGCGGAGGTCGGATGAAGTAGGAAGGGGAATAGAAAGGCGAAGGGTATAATAGTAAATAGCTGATTCATTTTGCGGGAACTGTAGAGAACCGGAGGGATTGGCTTTGGCAATAAAACGCTGAAATTTGGGAAACGTTTTTTCTTTTTTAAATTGCACTGATTTCGGGGGCTTTTTAAACTCGGTGGAGAGGGGCAGAATGTGGTGAGTTAGGTGAGTGGAATCGGAGGATTAAGGTGGGGAAGATGAAGTTTGATGGTGGTCAGGCAGCTAATTGTGTGGGTTGCTTTGCATGGAAGATAAAACAGCTAAACATTGGTAAGGTTCTTTTCAATTAGATTTGTGCAGAATTAAATATAAATGCATAATTATGCTATGAAACGGTACATTTTTACTTAATTGCAATTTCGAGTATACTTTTTAGAGTACAACAATTCAGTATGAATGAAGAATAAATGAATGCATACATGTTGAAACGGTTGAAAAGTCGATTAAAATAAATTTTGAAACAAGTTTTAACATTATATTTGAGAAAAAAATTTGCAACACATATGTCACGATATTTTAAACCAATACTTATTTGTTGTTATGATTGATTGTAGTAGTTTTACATAGACATGGCCAAAATCCAGGCCGGGTCTGTTTTGGCCGGGTCACGACCCGGCCCGGCCCGCCGGATCCGTGTCTAGGCCGGGTCCGTGTTTTTTTTTAGAAAAGTATAAAAAAATCAAAAAAATAAAAACAAGGGTCATTGATCCGGCCCGACCCTGACCCTCTGGGCCGAATCATGAAATGGATGACCTTTACACGGCCCGTTTGAAATCCGGGCCGGTCCCGGACCCGTGGTCAACGGGTTTGACCGGGCCGGACGACCCTTTGGCCATGTCTAGTTTTACTATTTTTCATGGGATTTATAAGTAAGTTGATTTTTCAATTGTAAAATTAGATATTAGTCATTAACTATCATTTATTTTATACATGCGGTATCATTGTATGATGTATCAATGCCAAATCTAAAATATTATTATGTTGATGTGTTTTTTCATGAAATAAAATCACACCTAAATTAATATATATGAGATTGATTTTGTTTTATTTTTTTACCTTATTAATTTGTTTTTATTTTTTTAGAAGACGTGTATGGCTGTTTAAGTCTAGTTTTGAGGTTATATAAACTTTGACAAATTAGTCATAACCGAACCAATTAGGTCTGTAATAATTGTCGAATCATTTTTAATTATCTTCAATCATTGCTGGACGCTGACACCTGAAATTACAACCTACCTATTTTTGTTTCTTATTTTCATTAGTTAGGCGTTTCACTCACTTTCTCATCATACTATCATCATTATTACATAATTTAATCATCCAAACTTTTTTTTTTTTTTGACATATCTATCATTATATAAGAAAATAACCTTTTTACAAATTTAGAAACATTTTTCGGCCAAAATCATTAAATATATTCTACATATAGTAATCGTTGAACAAATCTGAATAGGCAAAAAAATCGGCTCATTAATTGTGTAAAGATTTATTTCTCTTTTTCCTGTTTTTTAGTTTATCAAAACCATTGTTTGACAATAAATATTTGTTTTTTTCCTATTTTTAGTATAAATCTACACGAGCTTATCTTTTCTGTTAGAAAATCTCATTACATATTTGTTTTTTTTTTCCTATTTTTAGTATAAATCTACACGACCTTATCTCTTCTATTAGAAAATCTCATTGCATACGTGTCTCACATGTTTAAAAAATCTCATCCCTTATCTATACAGATTTGAAAAAATAAAATAAAAATCAATTCATAATTACTACTAGAAATTCATAATTTTTAAAAAGAAAATAAAATAAAATAGAAACCAATTCATAATTAGTACTATAAATCCATTATCCACTTTAAGAAGTTAATTTTCATCGGTCTAATTACTAATATTTTTACAAATATTATAAGCTAACTATACAAAAAAGTATAATAATAATTTTGAAATGGTGTGTAATCAAATTTTTTTATTCTCTTATACAAAATAATTTTACATTGTTTGACCTCGAATCTTTAATTTATAATTATTATGTATTGTTTATCTTCCTCTTTAATTAATAATTATTTTTTTTCTTCCTCTTTTTAAATAGGATCAATAGTAGTTTCCACTTCCGTCATTGAGTGACTCAAACTCGAGGTCTATTTATAATATTGTTAATTTAATATTATTCTTGTGCATCGCACGGGGTATATACTAGTTATATTATTAAAGGAATGACATCTTTTTCACTTAAAAGATAATTATAATTTTTTTTTTACACAATATTTTTAAATTCTTATTTTTCACCTTAGATACACTCATGATCACATAATATAGTCACACTATATGTAATCGCACCATATGAGATGTGAAGCAGTTTTGGATTAGTGGTGGGAAATTTTCATATATCTTTCATTATGGGATGAAAATAATTGTTTCACTTATTATTGCCGTCTACCAATCTACACGGGGATAAGATCTTTTGTTCTATTTTCATGATTCATTTTGTGGTCATTCCATCGTCTTAGAATATCACTTGTGAGTTGTCCCACATCGTTCATACATGGAAAATAGACGCACCTTATAAGACTAATGGGTTATTCCTTCTTTCACCAATTGGTTTTGGGATGGAACCCTATTTGGGCTTCATATGGGCTTTTCCCTTCTTTCATGGTGTCCTTCATGGTAGTGGGTCAGCAACCATTTCCCCCCAATTTCTGTCCTGGTATCAGAGCCGGTTCTATCTTGGACCGTGTGATGACGTACCTATTGTTTATCCCCCACGTACCCGTTTATGGGAGCCCCCAGTTTCTGTCCTGGTGGACCGTGTGATGACGTACCTATTGTTTATCCCCCACGTACCCGTTTATGGGAGCCCCCAGTTTCTGTCCTGGTATCAGAGCGGGTTCTATCTTAAAAATTTATTTTTTAAGATTTTTTTAAAATTGAAAAGGTGTCCTTTGTTTAAGGGATATAGTTTTTGTATAATTATATAATTAATTGACCTAATAATTGTTCGGCTGCAAATAAGTTAATGCTCGTCTATAATACAAATATACAAATAGTTGTGACAAGCTAATAATGTTATGTATATCCATTAAGACGCAACCCAGCCCAAGCCGTCTTCACTCTTCCTTCCTTCGCATAATCCAAGCCCAGCATAGGCCCAATAGCGTTAATCCCATCTTACCCAAACTCATCAATTTCCCCATCATCTCTGAATTCCCATTTCGATTTTGCTCCTCTTCTCCTTCTCCAATCCCGTCTCCGTCCAAGCCAAAGAGGACTTGAATCTTTTCAGGTCTGAAAAAGAAAAGAAAAACACCAACAGATTGTTAACCAACACAACAGTCTAAATCACTGTCATCATCATAATAATAACAATAATAATAATAATAATAATTAAAAGGAGAACAAAAAAGTATATAAAAAGAAAACAAAGAAAAAAGAAAAAGACTTATGACCTCTCATCATCATCGGCTTCACTCCTGTTCCTCCGGCAGCCAAACCGGAAAAGGCTTAATGATTATGATCTTCTTCGAATTACTCTGGACATCCCAGAGTTTTATCACGCCGCCGCCACGACAAATCACAAGGCGCGTTTCCTCCTTGATGAGGCTCAGTCCCACAGGTGTGAACAGCCTCACCCATTCCGGCTTCAACGCTTCATAATTCTTCAAAACCCAAGCTCTAGAACAATCATTACTTAAAAACACGACCAAGCACCCTCCCAAAACCCCGGATTGCCAGTTATACGACGGCTTACCATTACATGGCAAGGACAGCTTGCGGAACTTCTCAGTGGCCAGATCCAGCGCAATTACCGCATCCTTCGATAACCAACCAGTGCAGGGGCCCGTTTAAGAATGTGGTTCTAACCATGAACACGCGGGATGGGCACTTCTCATCTATCCTCTTCCAAGAGTTATATCTGAGGCTGTAGATGTGAGCATTTTCCTTACCGATAGAAACCACTTTGTAGTCGTCTGAGGACGGGTCGTACCCTATCCAGCATCCACAAAATGCGAGACAAGCCGGGAGCAGCTCGAGATAATCTCCGGTGAGAGGGTTCCATATCACCCACTCTTTGTGGCGGACGAGGAAAGAGTGGCGGATGAAGACGAGGCCATTGCAGGAGTCCGCAATCGGCAGGAGATCCGATCCCGGCGGGATCAGGGCGCTCGGGATCCGGGTAGCACTGAGGGTCCGCTGACCATCGACGTAGTTCAGGGAATCGACAGGAAGGGAGTAGATGGCGTCGGAGTTGGATGATGTCAGGAGGAGGTTGGAGTTGGAGGTGGAGGTGCGGTGGTTGCTTACCATGTGGGCCCTGACGAAGGATGGATCGTCGATCTCGTAGCACCAACACTTGCAGACGGCGCGAAATCGGAGGAGGGAGGAGGCAGGGAGGCGGAGGAGGATCTCGCGCTGGAGGTCGGAGGGGAGGCCCATCGATTTGGGATTACAGAGGTAGGATTAGGAATACATGGATTTTGGAATTTATACTCATCTCACCTTATTTACCCCATTTGCTGTAGATGGGCCATATAGGTTATGCTAGGATACATAGAATATTTTGAGATAATTACTCTATTAACGAACTCCATCATAAAATATTGTACCTATAATATTTTAATTGTAAAAGGACATAAACTACCTAACATAATTATAAACATATGACTGTAAAAGAACATTTTCCGTTTTCTTTTCTCTTTTTTCCCCTTTTCTTATTTTCGGTAACTTCTCTTATCACCTCCACTCTCCTCTCCTTATCTTCTTCTTCCCTTCTCCATTTTTTTTTTCAGCATTCACAGACACAAAAATCCAATTCTTCTCCCTTATCCCAATTTATTTTTCTACACTAGTCTTTTACTCATTTGAAATCATATGTACAGGTGTGATGTGGAACAAATAAAGCTATAGATTTTGGTGCCACTTTCTTGTTATTCTATTTGCAATTTTATTCTTGGGAATGTTGACAACAATCTGTTTGAGGACTTCAATCCTTTTCTGTGAGCTTCACCATTTAATGTGTTTTGCCATTAAACTAGCTATGGATCCAGGTTGGTTTTTTCCTTGTTCAATTGGGTGCAATTTAACTCTAGCACAATTTGTCCATGCTTTGGTTTCCGAAACTAAAGGAATAAGGTTTATTCAATTTTTCTTTTTCTTTTTTTTCTATTTTTTATTTTTATTTTTATTATTATTTTTTTAAAAAATTTTGCCTTGCAGTGGGATATTGCTGGACAAAAACGATTCAGAACTATAACCAGTACCGTGGACAATTCTGGCACAATTTGTCCATGCTTTGGTTGTTTCGTGGACGCTGCTGTCTCGCTCCCCTACGCTTTGGGACAACAACATATACTAAATATGTACTAAATATATACTAAATATTAAGTGAATATTGTAACATATACGTAGGGACAACAACATATACAAAATATGTACTAAATATATATTAAATATTAAGAGAATATATATATTGTAACATATACTAAATATAAACTCAATATATACTGCTCATTCAGGACATGAGAATTTATACTGACTTCTATACTCAACATATACTAAATATATACTAAAAAATTTGTTATAGAATTTACATGAAAAGATAATTAAATTTAAATTGAATGGATTAAAGAGAAGAGAGAGGAGAGAAGGAGAATATTATGGAGAAGATAAGGAAAAAAAACGGATGAATAGTATGTGGAATAAGAAAGAGAGTAATAAATAAGAATTGTTAGGAGGAGAGAGGAGAGAGAATGCTTTTAATATGTATGAGAGAGGAGAGAGAATACTTTTAATATGTACTCCCTCCATTTTGAAATATAAGGCATTTAAGGTTATTGCACAAATATTAAGGAGACATTAATTAATGAATAAATTGACTAAATTAACCTTATTTACTCTAATCACAACCACTCCACACTTCCTTAATTTCAACACAATGAGGGTATATTTGGAAAAAAATGCAAAAATTTGTCTTAATTTTTGAGCGCGCCTTATATTTCAAAAAAAATGAGAAATCTTTATACGCCTTATATTTCAAAATGGAGGGAGTAGTATTTATCTAAATATTTATGCTAGGTTAGGTAAATGTGCAAATACATTTTTTATTTAGTATTTTTACAATTATTTATCAATCAATTAAGTATATATGTAAATTGGCCTAAAAATTTCCCCCTCATTTACCTTGTTTGTTGTAGATGGGCCATTTAGATTATGCTTGGATACATACAATTTCGTTTCTTGGCCCAATAGTTTTATGACCTATGCATCACTTTGATGAATATCGTGTATTGTTATATAAAACCCGCACTAATGGCCGTCGATTCAACACGATAATTTTGTGAAAACTGACACTAATGTCGTCGGTTTAACACGAAGAAATTGCTCGAATACGAGTCTTTTCTTAATTTTTATAGCATAAAATGATAATCCCTTACATAAGATCAGTACACAACTTATGTAGCAAAGTTAAATTCAAATTTCACTAACTAAACACATATAAACTTTCAAAATAGAAACCTTATTCAACCAATCTGCATTATGTGTCTCACATATAAGCCGTGAACACGACTTATATAAATTTGCTCTTGTCCATCCCTTCAAGCGAGACCTGCATGCTCTCCGGTTGGCACGATCACTCGGTTCGCATCACACTTCTCAGACACGCACTAGTGACCCAAACAATGCCCGAAATTTGACACAAAAATGCCTTAAAAATGGTGGACGAAATTTGGCCCAAAAAAATTGTACTGGACACAAAAAACAAACGCCGCCCTTTGTCCGTGAAAATCTTTTTTTTTATTCTTACCAGTTATGTCAAACTTACCTTTCTCGCCTTTTCACATTTATCAAAATTTGAAAATTTGCATAGCTTTTNGTGAAATTGATTTGAACATATTTTTTATCACTCGGTCTCACACGTATTTTTAGTTAAATTTACTCGGATTTGTTAGTTATTATCTCATAAAATATATTTAAAAAAAATTAATTTTTTAAAAAATTGAATCACTTGGCTCAAACTAGGCTGCCAATATAATTTTGAAATAATATCATATGATAATGTTAAGTTTGTTTAAAAAGAGAAACATAATTGATTTACTACCAAGTATGTTTGTGATATACACGATTCAATTCATAGAATTGGTACGAAAATATTCGACCTCAAGTTATTTAACCAAAATATTAATAAAAAAATCTATATATATATAAAAAGGTTTGATTATTTTTTAATAGTAACTATTTCGCTCCAATTTTTTTATTTACTATTTCGGAAAATTAATTTAAAAATTTATAGTATATTTCAAATTATCACATATGGTAATTGCGGCTCATTATTTAAAGAAGTAATTAAGCCATATTTTAAGATACCTTAATTATTCAAATCATGTGAATTAATCAATATATGGTATATAGTGGATGAATTTATTTTTGGTGTTGATGATTGTTTATATAGAAAAAAAATTAATCAATATATGGAAAATAATTTATTTTGTTCTGTTTGTTTTTGGTTTTTTTAGTTGTTTAGTTCTGGAGAACTGATTTGATCATTATAGTGTTTTATTTTCGGTCAATTTGTGGGAAATAAAAGGTAAGGACATCTGGGAAATGTACTGTGATTAAGAAAACATGGATGGTATAAAAAAAATGATATTTGGGAAATGTACTGTGATTGAGAAAACACGGACGGACTACAAGGAAAAGGACATTTGGGAAATGTAATCTATAAACATATAATTGCTACTAGAAACTTACCGGCTGTGCTTAGCACAGCCGGCCCATATAATTTAAAAAAAAAAAAATTATTTTTTTTAAAAATAAGTTTTTTTAATTGTATAATATTAAAAATATTTATTTAATTAAATAATGTTGTTTTTTATGATTTTAATTTTTCTTGCTTATTTGAGTTTTTTTTAATAGTAAATTTTTGTTTCATTAGAGATAGTTTTTACTTTTTAAAAAGACTTTTTTTTATTCAAAAGTTTTTAGTAGGATTTTTTTTGTTTGATTTTTTTTTATAGAACAGGAAAATAGAATTTTATTATCATTAAAAAAAATAATAGTTTCAAATATAGAATTATTATTTTGTTAATAATTATTATTTTCTTAACAAAAATGATATTATTTTTAACTTTTGCAATATAAAATTTTAATGTATTATATATGTAAGAAATAAAAATTTTAATTTCCTTTTTTGTTATGAAGTTTTGTTATGTAAATAAATTATGTTATGCAGATAGACAATATTAAGGGTCTATATTGAATTATTTATTTCAATGATAATTATTACAATAGAGATATGAACAAAACATCAAATTTTCATTATCACTGATGAACAATTAACAAAAGAGAGGAGAGATTACAGAGAGGTTATGTGAGCTCGAGAGAGAAAACGAGAAAAAGAAAAATTAATAATGAATGAAGAAAACCCTAGTTTATCTATTTATAATAACCCTAATGGTTAAGGGGCTGAATATAAAATGTGTACAGGCCCAAATGCTAAAGCCTAAAATTACAATTTAATACTGCAGCCCAAATAGATTTTATGGTCTAATATCCCCCGCAAGAAGAACATATATATTTACAATGTTCATCTTGGAGAGGTAGTTATGAAAAGGTTGAGGGCTGAGTGCCTTTGTAAGTATGTCTACTAGCTGGCCTTCTGAAGGAACAAAGTGTAGAGAGATGACTCCTGTGGAAAGCTTCTCCCTGATTAAATAGCAGTCGATCTCGATGTGCTTTGTTCTATCATGATGGACAGGATTTTTGGCAAGAGATATGGCAGAGTTGCTATCTGAAAGTAAAGAAAGAGGAGCAGTGTAAGTAATATTCAGATCCTTAAGCAGATATAGAAGCCATTGAGCCTCACAAGTAGTGAGAGCTAAAGCTCTGTATTCTGCTTCTACAGAAGACCTGCTGACAGTGGGTTGTTTATTTGATTTCTAGGAAATCAAAGAATCACCAATGAAAAAGGCATAACCAGTTATGCTTCTCCTTGTATTAGGGCAACCAGCCCAATCACTGTCACTATAGCCTTTTAAAATTAAATTGGAAGTTCTGGGATAGAGAATACCTTGTCCAATAGTGCCCTTAACATACCTTAGAACCCTGTTGGCAGCAGTCACATGTTGTTGTGTGGGACATGAAACAAACTGACTTAAACAATGAATATTGTGAGTAAAATTCGGTCTGGTGATGGTTAAATAAAGCAATCTACCTACTAATATTCTATACTCAGAAGCATTGACAGGAATAGAGTCCATGTTAAACTGTCAGCAGATAATTTTCTATTGGGATCCATAGGAGTTTTGGCAGGTTTGCAATCTAAATAGCCAGTATCTTTTAAAATATCTAATGCATACTTTCTCTGGCATAAATGAATACCCTTATTAGATTGTGCAATTTCCAAACCAAGAATGTATTTCAAAGTTCCCAAATCTTTTATAGTGAAACAAGAGTCAAGGTGTTGTTTAATAGCAGAAATAGCAGATAAATTGTCACCTGTGACTATTATGTCATCAACATAAACAAGAGTATTAAAGTGTACTCAGATGATGAATAAACAAAAAAAGAGCTATCGGAGGTAGATTATGTAAAGCCATATGCAATTAAACAAGTAGTCAATTTTTGAAACCATTGTCTAGAGGCTTGTTTCAAGCCATATAGACTTTTTGTTAATTGACATACTCTGTTATCACCAGCAATTAAGTATCCATGGGGAGGGGACATATAAACAATTTCATCTAAATTACCATGTAAGAAAGCATTATTAACATCTAATTGATAAATATGCCAATTTTTTATTGAAACAATGCATAAAAGAACTCTGACAGTGGTAATTTTTGCACCAGGTGAGAAAATATCAAAATAATCAATACCTTCCCCTTGTGTGTAGCCTTTGGCTACCAGCTAGCTTTGTACCTCTCTATTGTACCATCTGGTTTGTATTTAATTTTATATACCCATTTGCAACCTATGCAGTGATGATTAGGAGGTAAAGCAACTAGCTTCCATGTATTGGTCTATTCAAGAGTAGAGATTTCTTTATGCATGGCTTCTTGCCAAAGAGGATTTAAGGCAACTTGTTTATATGTCTTAGGTTCAGCATGATTAGTGATTGCAATAGTAAAACAAAAAAAAAAAAAATAGCCATTATACCTACTATATTAAAAATACCAACAAGTGCAACCTTTGACGAACATTAGGTTCACCAACAATGTCCCGGAGATACTGAGAGATGAATTAGGGATACTGAGAGACAAATTAGGCTTTCTCGAATATATAAAATCCAGCTAACTTCACACACACACACGCACGCACACACTCGAGCACACACAGTAGAAAAAAAGGCAAACACCAAGGGAAAAAATAACATAAAAGCTAAAGAATTACCTCGTTAAGAACACGGTGCCCCTGAATCAGAGAAATGCAGAGGACACATTTTCACAGCTGGGGGCTTCGGCGTTTTGAGAGTGGGTGCTTTAGGAGCAAACCTGACCTGAACAACATCGATCTATGAAATATTTAAACAAAATGATTTGTAAAAATCACGTTAGGTGTAGGCAATAACCGTCAGGCAGGCCCTCGAGCAGTCCAGGCACTTGGACAGGCCTTCAGATTCAGATCTTAATATTGCAACGTGATATGTCCAAATTTGTCCAAATGAAACAAAAGTTTGTGGGCAAAACATTACCTCAAACCTTTTCAACCTGGAAAAAAAAAACATGTGCTTTTATTTTTCAGGAAAAACTTGAGTGTGGCTATAGCTTTGGGGCGGGGATGTGTGTCCCTATGATTAAGATATTAAACAAAATTAAACAAATCAGCTTGCGAATATCACATAGTGAAAAAAAGAAACATCCAAATTAAGATCCTTAAATCAAACGCATCATTAAAGAGAACTAACAAATATAAAATGTTTCGAACTCTAAATTCTCCGAAACATCTCTCTGCACTCGGAATAACCACATATGCTTCTACTTAGCCTACTCCGTGATGGTCTTATGGCACAGGAGAAGGGAAATGGACCTGTATGTAAAAAGTAAAACAGATAAGAAATTACGAAACTTAGAATATGTATATCACAAAGTACAAAAAAAAAAAAGATGAATGACAAACAATTAAACAGATGCATAAATAATATTACTTGAACAATATGCAGACCCTTTTCTGTGGGAAAAAAAAATCGCGATCAAGTAAGAAAGAGTTTAGGAAAAAAAATGCAAAGAAGCATGTTGGAAAACATCCCCTAATCGGTGTCATTTTGAACGAAGTGAAGACTTTAAGAGGTGCCACCAGGGCGGTGCTGCAGAAAACACAAATTTTAAACGAGTATTAAAGAAGCAATTAAATGAGAGGAAAAAAAGAAAAGAAAAAAATGACAAGCAGCTTTATTTATAAGGAGAGAATGAAAGCTCTTTACCACACCAACCCTATGGTTCCGAATAGGTGCAGCTTGATGCTGACTCGGTCGATTGATGCCCGACTGCCTGTGGTCTGGTCTCTGATGCGAGATTTCCCCAAACCTACAAGCGTTTCCTGTGGAGATGCTACCTATCGCATGGCTCAGGTGGGCCCGAAGCGTGCGTGAAGTGATGGTGGCAATAGGGCTGCCGGCCCGCAGGAGCACCGAGTTGCTGGAGAGGCTCGACGATGATCGGCCCGTGATTGTTGTGCGTATTCAGTCCATCAAAAGATAAAATAATTTAAACTAAACAAAAAAAAAGGTGAAGAAAAACTTGGCCTGAAATTGTAGCCTGCGACCAAACTGCTCTCAGCCCGCTCCTCGAAATCAACAACCATGATTTCTAAAGCGAGAGAGCTGTTGGGATCTGTGAGGATCTCGTTATGTACAAATCACGAATTCAATAGCAAACGTAAACCTATGCGCAGCGGATCTAAAGGTTTGACGTAGAGAACTTACGGCTTAAAATTTATGTAGATCTGGTTGACCACGAACGGTTGACCGCAATTGATTGACCGCAACACGCGTCTTGGGTTGCACGAACAAGATCAGATCAAAACTGGATCAAACGGATGCAAACAGATCAAAACGAAATTTTGCTGCCAGACACCTTCCGGCGGCGCGTGAGGGCGCGTGCAGCGTCGTATTCCGGCGACGTCGGCGGCGATGGAAAGCTCTCGTCGAGACGGTCGTCTGGGTATACTGTACGTCTCAATCGGACTTCCGGTTAGTTCTGTAGGTCAAAATCAATTTCGTCTCGGTTTACCTACAGATCTTCTACTGTATTACTCAATACACCCTTCTTCAACTTGTACCAGTGGA